ACACACACACACACACACAGAGAGAGACACGCACGCCCGCGCACACACATGCACACACACAAGTGTGAGTTGTATATATAATGACAATATTAGAAGCCTACCAGACCATCACAACACAGTTAGATCTATTTGTTCTCAGAATGTAGTGCCAAGCACCTACTGAGCACTACAAAATTATCTCATGATTGGACTGTTAGATCTATTTAATCTCAGAAAGTAGTGCCAAGCACCTACTGAGCTCTACAAAATTATCTCATGATTGGACTGTGCCAGTGGGAAAAGAGCGATACCTACTGCACCGAGACTGAACAGTTATGTGACCTCATTTAAGCCGTTTGTTCACACGCGCAGCATATGTGCGGTCAACTATACGGCTGTGAAGATATTGGACTGGTGCCAAAATACAGAGGCAATAAAATAGTAGCAATGGAAATGATACATCTTCTTAAGAGACTGTTGAGAATTTCACAGATGGACAAGAAAATCAAATGAGGTAGTCCTGAAAGAAGAACAGATGGGCCACTGACTAATAAAAACAGTTACGAGGATGAGTAAAAAGTAATGCAAGTTCATTTATAACTTAAAGATAATAGAACACCTCAAATTGAAGGAAGCATCTTAGGGTCAGAACTTTTATTTCTCAACATGGTCTCCATTTCGTTCAATAGCCACTGTCCACCTTTTACAAAGTTCACATATTTATGCCAGCGTCATAAAACTTACCAGGTTGGTCTGAGGGGTACAGCAGTCTTGATTTCTTCATCGTTTCCACATTGTTGAGCTGTCAATGGTTCTTTTTAAAGACCGAAAAGGTGGAAGTTTAAAGGAGCCAAATCACGAGAATATGTTTGGTGTGGCAATGTTTTCCACGTAAACGGGGTAATTGTCTCCCCTGTTCTGGTACTCGAATGCAGGTGGGCAGTGTCATGGTCATGGTGAAAAAACACTCTTTCCAAGTTCAAATTTGGTCTAACTCGTCGAATCCTCGTTTTCAATCGTTTCAGTGCCTCAAGGTAGGGTTCAGAATTGACAGTTGTTGCTCTTGGAGAAAAAACCATCCTGTGAGAAGCACGCTATGAACGGCCCAAAACACTTTTGCCTCGATTTTCCGGCTGCCTCCTCGGGACGACGCTTGTCTGACAAACACATGGGCACTTCTTCCTCTTCTTCCGGTTCATCGCTTAAATGTCTAACCCACCTATATACAGTACCAAAATCTAGAGCTTGGTCCTTGTAAACATTATGAAGTCTTTATTTGATGTTACCGGTGGAATCTCCTTCGAAAAGAAGAAATTCATTCCTGTTCTTTACCTCAGACAGACCTCCAAGAGGGTAGACATTTTGATGTGACGTCTTTCGGGCCAAAATGAAAGATACTTAAATCTAAACAATTGAGCTCACAAGTACATGAGCAAGCATTTGTGAGCTGAATTTAATTAAATTTGATGCAAAACTGTGAAAAATAGCGACCAACTTACATTACATTTTTTTACTCCCCACGTAGAAAGAGGCAAACGCAGTTTGTGGGACAGCTGAATCGACATAGGCCATGAACGTATTGATATCTCTGGAAATATTCGTATAGACCCTTTCATGAAATAATATATTTGAACCTCAGCGTAATGTTTATACTGGTATGTGTTAAGCGTAGTGTCTTGCTCATATTACATTCACTGTACACCCCCCTCTCTCTTCCTCTCTCTCTCTCTCTCTCTCTCTCTCTCTCTCTCTCTCTCTCTCTCTCTCTCTTTCTCCCACTCTCCTGGCCGTGGACGAAGCGTCCACTCTTTCAAATACAGAAAGGGACCCTAAAGCTTCAGCAGCACTGACGCCAACGAGCAAAATTTATTGTTATGGTCGTCTCAGTTGAAAAAACAACATTCCGGCTGTAACAGCTGGGCGTATGGGACATCTGTCATAATTCTGGATACATTCGGTGTCCTTCTTCAAGCGTGTGCCCATAACAGGTCGAGTCAACGTTCGGCACAAATGTATCATGCCATTTATTTTCGTCTCTGGACCAGTCGTAAAGTTAAAGAGCTGAGTGAAATCGTGTCTCCCGTTTGAGCTAGCCTAGGCTTCATACATTCCTGAAGACATACTTTTTCGATCTTTGTTTCGTTTGACGTTGTGGTAAGTTTTGTTAGTGCGTCGTTTTCCTTTCCGAGTAAATATATTACTAATGTTAAAAAAACCCTTACATTTCGCATCGCTATTCGTCAATGTACCAGCTGTACCATGTTTTCGGATGCAATCAAGTTTTAAAAGCACCTGCGACACTGACTTGAATGCTTCTAAGGTCTTGTCTATTTCATCGGTGGAAGTCATTCCTTTGGTTCTGCTGTAAGTACCTTGTTATGTTTTCACTCACGCCGACAGGATGGGTTTATTTTTATGTCAGTTTGCTCCCATGCTCAACGATAATATTCGATTTATCTTCCAGTTTTTGTGATCTAGCGATTAAACACTTCGTCGTCTCTCGCAGAAGACGTGCGTGCAAATCCCGTGTGGGGAGTTTTTTTAATAATCGAGTATCTCAGTAGTCTGTTTTCTGGAACTTTGTATCCCTCTCAGCGCGCGTTGGCCTTGACCGAAGTAGCCCTCTTGCTAAATAATTTGACTAGTCTTCTGGTGTACCACAGGTTGTTATCAAATCTGCTCTGTGAGGTCATAATATACGAATACAAAAAATATAAGCAAAATTATTTAAAACATTAGTAATGTGATATAGAAGTTGTAATAAAAACAAGAGAAGCTTTCCACGTTTTATCTGCACCCAGTGATTTGTTATTCTGCTTCCAAAAATTCAGATTGCCTTACTTGCCAAAAGACAATAAATAGACAGTGATTTTAATATTTTATCTCCTGTCTCTAGCGAGTGTACTATCTGTAAAAATAGTGTTTTATTTTGACTGTTTTGTTTAGTTCTATAATTACGAACAATCGGAAACGAGGATAACCCATACTGTTCAGTCTACATTCTAAGTTCTCCCACAACATTTTAACGCTTCACTTAACACAAAGGGCAATTTTTGAAAATTGGCCCCATTTTGTGAGGATTCAAGCGTTTTATTTATTTACTTTTTTTTTTACCAGACCAGGTTGTCGTTTGTAACATAAGCAGACCATAGAACACATAGAAACATTCTCAGCTTTCCGGGAAGTATACCGTACAAGAAACTGATTAAGCACTCAAACACTAACAAACTGACAAGATCTTTCACCGTCTATAGCTGGGTATCCATTCCCACCTAGATCAAGTGAGGAAAATCCGTGTAAAGTGCGTTTTCCAAGGACACAACATCGGGTCCCAGACGGAATTCGAACCCATCACCTTACGGTTGGGCGTCCGAAAGCCTAACCTGTAGGCCACCGACGCCACACTTGCATCCCACGTTTGAGGGGTAGCACACTATTGAGATCAGCGGCACAGTCGGAAGCACACTTCCTGTACTCTAAGCTGAAAACATAGACTTGTATTTTAATATCCTAGACTGGGCACTTGGACGCAAATCCAGGGCACTGTTTAGCGCACCATTTTGACTCAAATGAGATGGAGCCAAAATGAACGGCAATGGGGGATAGTGCCGAGTCCAATCGAATGTAGTGGCGTTAATGTGTTGCCCTTGATTTAGAAATCCATGGTGCACACACTTTGCAGTGTAGTTTTTTTAATGTAAAGAGCAAAGAGTGGCAGCCATGGTAGTGTGTGGTCAGTGATATTTTAATTCAAGTCTATGGCTCAAACAAGAAAGGTCCGCCCTTCCTGTTCAATGGAATCTTAACTTTTATTTCAGATCTACAGCTGTGTGATGATTTCTGAGCTACTTTTCACCGTTGTGGTCATCGCCATAATTGTTTTGAGCTTCAGATACACACGGCCGAGGAAAGACTCGATCCCCGGCCCCCCGTTCCTCCATGGACTCCGCACAGTGTTCGCTGCCCTGAGGGATAACAACCTGCACCAGATAGGCGAGATTTGGGCAAAGCAATATGGCGACCTGGTGGAAGTGAACGCCGGTATGGGAAAGATTGTATTTGTCAACGACTCCGACCTTGTCCGTCGACTGCTCTGTGATCCGGAGAATAGAGATATCACCAACGACAGGCCCCCCACCTTCGTTGGGAGACACTTATGCTACAATTACAAGAACATCATCACGGCAAACTTCAGCCCAGAACTTGTGAAGAGGCGAAAGGTTTTTCATACAGCTTTAAAGTTCTATGGAGATGGTGTCCACACGTTTGAAACACTCATTCAGGAAACCTCTCTTGATCTGCGGTCCCAGTTGAAAAATTATGAAGGCAACGTTCCTTTGAAAAACGAACTAACGGATTTCATCCTACGGGTTGTGGGTTTACTTTTGAAAGGAACACATCTCATGGACACAGATCTTGATATTATAGCCAACCTTGTAGATACAGCAAATAAATGTTTCCAGTTTGAGAACGAAACACTCATGAAATTCTTTCCTTTTGCTCGTTTTATTCCCGGCCTCAAAATAAAGCAACTCGTCAATGACTTTTACTTCTATCGTAAGGAACTCATTGACTCATTCTTCCTTAAGGCTAAAGAAGCTTACCTCCAAGGTGAAAAGAGCGGTATTATCTCCGAGTTGCTGGACCAACAAAAGAAACTGGAAGAGGAAGGCCAATCTGGGGTTCTTTCTGATGAGGTCATCATCACTCTGATATTGGACATAATGGCTGCCGCGTATCTCAGCACGGCGTGTACCATCAGCGGCTTGTTTCTATACCTAATTAAAGATCAAAATGCCCAGGATCGAATCCACGGGGAAATCCAAAAGGTGATCGGAGACATCACACCGGTTTTCGAACACCGACGACACATGCCATACACAGACGCTGCAATCTTGGAAATACTACGCATCTCGACCATATCGCCATTTTTGTTGCCCCACTTTGCCAACGCCGACCTGACCATAGATGGCTACACGATCTCCAAAGGCAGCACCCTCCTCCTCAACTCCTGGTACTTCCATCACCGCGATGACCACTGGGACCAACCCTGGAACTTCCGACCGGAACGCTTCCTGGACGGTAGTGGTCAGCTGGTTGACCCTGAGCATCCACAGCGCAGGAAGTTGATGGTGTTCGGCACTGGGCGGCGACTGTGTCCAGGGGAGAACTTTGCCAGGTCTCGTCTCTTCCTCATCCTGGTCACCTTACTCCAGCACTTCCGTTTTCTACCTCCTTCCGGGGAAGAACTTCCGTCATCGCACCCCAAAGACTGGACATTGGGGACTGTTCTCTCCCCAGGTAATTATCAGTGCAGGGTTGAGCTCAGAGCCTGAGAGATGGACGGCATCTTGACGTGACCGGATAAATGCAACATAAATGATTTTGTTCGGAGAATAATACTTGTTATATTTAAGACAAGAAAATATACTCAAACATTTCATTTTCATCGGGCTAAAACAGTAACTTTCTGATGAATGACTAAAATACAACTTACTTTGATACTTGGTTATTTAGTTACTTGGTTGGAGAATAGATATCATCGCAGGCGGTACAGTACTATGACTGCTCCTCCTTCCTCTCCTGGATCATGAAAGGGTTAGCTTGCTGATCGTACCAGTCATCATTTGGTTGGATATTCCCCAGCTATTCCACGCAGCCTGCTGTCTCTCCCCGACCCTCATGAGTCTTTCCAGCGTATGTGGTGTGGAGCGATCATTTTCTCTGTGGTTGTTAAACACAGCCGTCAATGCTGCAACGATTATCAATAGATCTAATGGCATGTCGCCGTCAATCTTAGTCTGGCCTGCTAGCTCATCAGCACATCTACTGCCTCGAACTCCAGCATGATCATAGCTAAAGATCCATACAAACTTTGTGAGTTGGCTGCTTCATATCACCTCTCGCCAGTCTGTATACAACACTCTTGCTTCTTCACTTTTTAGGGCACTCATCGAGTCAGTGACAGGGATGGCAGTCAGATGCTCAGTTTCTTTAATCCAGTTTTGGCCTTCTATGATGGCTTGCATCCCCATGCACTTGCTGGGCGTAGCTATACAAGTGGTGCCTAACAGCTCTTGCTATATGACCCCGTTTACACGGACTCTAAAAACCAATCCGGATTTGGCCCGATGCTGCACAGACCCATCTGTGAATATGATTACTTCACCCTTTTCGCTGCCCCCTCTGGCGACTTGCGAATTCTCTGCCAAGGGTTGTTACCGTTCGGGTATACTGCCCAAGTGTGTCGGTGAAGCTGACCCATTCACTCTCCTTTTGGATGTCTTTCACTTCACAACATTTAGCCAAAGTAATCGCAGACCCATTCATGATTTCAATACCTCTTAGCAGATGTATAAGCACAGTTTTTGTAATTTGTCAAGCAGTGGGTGCTCATTGACGTACCATGTCTGGGAGGTCCAGGAGATGGCGTATAGCTTCGCAGGAGGCGTCCCGTGTGCACCCGAGAACAGTCCTTATACCATGATTTTGGATTGTGACAAATCGTTTCAGCTGCGAAATCGACAAGGTGTGGACACCAAGACCATATACTATCACCGACAGCACAAGAGTCTGATACAATATAGCTAGAATTCTCTGTGGCCTTCTGTAACACGTCTTGGTTTTCAGTGCAGCCAGGTCTTCTCCGGCTCTTGTGACGATCCTGGTATGTGATCATTACGTGGAAGTGGTCTTTCGAATGTAACACTTGGAAACCTCAGGGATTGCTTATTTTTCAGGACCATGCCGTTAATGGTGATTGTGGACATCTCTGCTTTCACTGCGCCACCGTTTATATATTCTTGCTTGTCCTTCCGCTGATAATGTACAAGGACTTAATCCGCAAAGATCAGCATCATCCCGGGGCCTTTCATTTGTTCAGACATGATTCCAACGATGTATATGTTGAATAACATTGGTGCGGATGCTGACCCCTGTGGTAACCCTGGTCTGATGCTTCTTGTGTCTGATGTCCATTTTCCCAGTTGCAGTGCCTTTCAGCAGTGTTTCATCTACCCATATCACGAGCTGGGGGCTAATCTTCAGGTTGGTGACTGTTCTCAAGAGGTCATCATACTCAGCTATAATATTGCTGGCGTCGTCGAGGTCAAGTGCTGTTATCAAACCCATCATATACATCTGGTGGTAGGACAACAGCATTCATCTTGATGTCCTTTCCCCACCTGTAGCTACCTGGTGTTGTTGGAAGTGCCTCTTTCTTTTCTAGCTCCTATGAGACCTTCTTTTCTAAGAGCTTGCCTACTGTGATGACTCAGTAAACAGCTATAATATTACTTAAGTCCTTTTAAGTCGTGGGGAGTGGCGCTAAGTGGAAGTAAAACCAATCATATTGTATCTCTCCGTTCCATAGACTCTTATTGAGGATTTCTGTGAGGTCCCTGATGCTGTCCTCGTCAGTGGGCACGAAGTCGGCACGTCTGATCATAATCTTGGTTGGCGGCAAGCTATGAACTTTGCCGTGACGGTCACAGGTTCCGGGCCTCTTCCCTGGTTTGAGGCTCTGCCATGGTGACCGTTTCCTTTCTACAAGCTTTGCAAACTTTGCATGGATGTTTTTATCCGACAGAATATTCACAGAAGCTACGGTAAACGTGATCCGGACTTGAGCTCCAATCAGGAGGATGAAAGGGTGGGTAGGAAGAGAAGCGAAAGAGGTCAGCCATCCAGCCCTTTAGAATGTCGAAGGAACCACCGTGAGCTAGCGCTACAGCGCACTTGCTGTGCTAGTCCTTGGCCATTGTCTCCTGCTGACGCACAACCATAGGCTTTCTATTTCCACACCTACTCTCATCCCAGTGTAAACTGTCCATGCCCCCCCCCCCCCCGTGCCATCTCCGTCTCTGCCTCTGTCTGTCTGTCTGTCTGGCTGTCTGTCTGTCTGTCTGTCTGTCTGTCTGTCTGTCTGTCTGTCTGTCTGTCTGTCTGTCTCACTATCTCCCGTACACAGGCGCTGCCTCATATACACAAGGATCTGCCTGGAAAAAGGTAAAAGTTATTGGAATTTATACTTGTACTAGGTAAATACAGTGAAAAAATGAATGGTGAAATCACCTCGCTCTATTTTCTAATTAAGATGTATAATTAGGGCTTCTGATTGGTGGCTTTACTCTATGTAAACATGTTTAAAAAAATCATTACACTTATATTTTCATCAAATCCAGTTGTTTCTTTATATTGTTTTATTGATTGTGAAGGCAAGGCATATTTTGGTCACAATATACATGTAACTCTCTTAGACGTCAAAGCAAACACCCCCCCCCCCCTCTTCTCTTTTTTTTTTCCCCCTCCCCGCCCCCCCCCCCCCCCCGCTTTTCCACTATTTGCGGGAAGACAAGATAAATTCGAACACTGGTTTTTGAGGTACTGAAACATAGTATTTTTAGTCTTGATCTGTGATGTTCGGTTAATGGATTATTTGGATAATGTTAAGATATTCCTAAGTCCGGAATTCTTCATCTATTGTGCACTATGCTCTATTTGCTTTTTAGGCCACACCTTGGCTCGTGAAATTAGATTCCACTTATTTCATGTCGTTTAAAGGTTGCACATAAAAAGGAATAAAAGGCAAAGGCATGTTGGGTTTATTTAACTCTCTCACTTTCTGAAAAGAACCTATTGCGCATGGTTCATTGCACACACAGCTTTGACGTTGCAGTTTTCAGTTTCAAGACGTTTAGTTTTCATTACACACACAAACACACCCTCACACACACCCTCACACACACACACACACACACACACACACACACACACACATACACACACACATACAAACATACAAATACATGTATATATACAAACACACATACGCAACGAAAGAGACTGACAGAGAGACAGGCAGACAGACAGAAAGACAGTGCTATGCATGCGTTGTTGTTGGATATAACTAAATGTTATCTTATTCCTGACTTGTTGAGACGACTGACCTCGTTTTGTGTGGTGTCTATTCAGATGGTGACCAGAGATGTGAATATTTTTTTCTGTCAAAATATGGGCGTGCTGTTAGCTCAGGCGGTATCATGATAGACTACAGAGCGGATGGCCTTGGGTCTATTTTCCAACCTGACGTTTTAAACGTGCGTTGTTTTGGGGCATTTTTAAGGCTCTCTGTCCACCTGGCTCGAATCTATCGGGGATGGATATTAAATTTGGAGGTCCTGCCTCTTAAATAACCTCACAGTGTTGAAAGGGGTGTTAATCCAATATTACGACAAGAATTCAAAGACCTAGCGAGATTTCGCTGAAGTGGACTTTCCAAATCCCTACTCTATTCCAGAAACAAGCAAATAAATATTGGTTGGCGATGATAATTAGCTGTTGTTCTGACTACAAATTACTTAGTGCGTCATACAGAAAGGTAAAAATCAAACACACAAAATGAAGGTCATTGTGGATTATCCTGGCTTTTCTTTTCTTTCCAATGATTAGTGGAAACCCACACTCATTTTAATTACTTGGAACACCCCTTTGTTGGAGGCTGAACACCCCTTCTTGATATAGGCAGCGATATTGTGGATTGCAAACTTCATGAAGTTCAGGGTTTGGAGTTGAGGGAGTCTTAATTGATTTCCTCGTCCACCTTTATGTTAAGGTCAGTCCCAGGACGAAGGAGTATATCGTCGCTGTCGAAACAATCCGGTTAAGTCCAATTTTTTGGAATTTTCGTTTTCTACACTCTCTCAAAGCTCTATCAAAGATGCACCTTTCAACATCACCAAAATGCAGTCTAATGCTTTGGTCAAGGCTTACAATTTTCTTACTTTTCATGATTCCAGATAGGAACAATACAGCGAAACAATTTTTTGGGTCCCTTGAGTAAAAGATACCCAAACGGACTTGAGTGGATTGCTTGCAACACGACGATAATTATTTCTGACATCGAAATGACCAGCGTTGTGCCCAGTAGGGTGAAAAACTACAACAGCCACGTATGAATTACTCTATTTTAATTAAGAAACTAGAATCCCTCACCTTTTGGCAAGGGGTTAGAAGAAAGAGGGTCTTAGTAACATTTAGCTTAAATATATACGGTTCTTTGTGCATCTGGGTATGTCGAAACTCGTCCCAGAAGACTACACAACATAGCATTAAGAAATGATTGGATGGCTTTAACTCAAACTACCAAAACTCGTTCGTATATTATTATCTTGCTGACATGAAGTCCAGCTGTTTTTTCTTCTTCATTTTTCTCGAAACAACCTCATGGTGACTTAGTCCCTTTCTTTTCCTGAACCTTTCCCAAACTTGAGGGTCTTTGGTGAGTGGGCAATGAGTGAAGTCGACAAGCAGACCAAGGACTCTCACATACATTTGA